AAATGGGAAACAGAAATTATTATATTTTTTTTCAGGAAAGTTGAAGTCCATAATACTTGTTTATATTCTAGCTTCGTTTTTTCAATTAAACTTAAGTGAATCTGGAGTAGCTAGATTTCGTCTAAATCCACACAGCTAAGGAAACCTGTGCTTGCTCTTTCTCTGAATTTTCACTGAGGGGCTTTTATCTCCCTCTAATCCCACCATTTCTGTCAGGACATAATCTCTTTCTCAAATTTACATTTTAATTACAAGGCCAGCTGAACTAGCTAAAATCAATAATGTCAGCATTCAGCAGCCTAACTTCAGCTGAAACCCCAGCCTCTCTTTCCTTCTATCGATTTGTCTTGTGAACACGGTCTACTTTATTGCTTCAGGCAAATAGGTGCCATTTGGTCAATTTATACAAAAAAGGGGATTTGAACATTTTTATGATTCTTTCTAAAAGCAGCTATTGGAACAATTTGAACCCAGGTACTGTACTTGTGTAAAACAAAATACACAGAACAGCAGAATTCTTAAGAGGAATTTTACTTTTAGAACTGCACTTAATCCCATCTATGTCTTAAAAAGAAAACAAAAAAACCCACCCTGACATTGGGTATCATTCAGCTAGGGCTGTCTGCATGGTGACTCTTGTATCTTGTTAGCAAAAACTAATTTTATTATCAAGTATTTTTTAAAAAATCCAAGTAGAGGTGTTGTTACTGATGTCGTAGTGTATTTACTTTTAGCCATTTTTCTGTTAATGGTTTAAAATAAGAAATCAATGGGAAAATATTTTGTTCTTGTAACTCTTAAGAATTCCTATATTGATTTTTTGGATGTGATTTTTATCTACCTAAATGTCACATTGTCCATTTATCTCTCTTGCCTTTTCTGTGTGTTGGTGACTGCTTGTCTCTGCTGTTCACATCCTCTCCCCCTCAAACAAAATCAGTGTAGTGAATGAGCAATTACACTTTCCATAAATATCATAGGAAATATTGGAATAAAGCTGGGGTTTCCTGGGAACTTCGATACATATGCACATAATCTCTCTGAAAAAGGATGCGAGAGACACATACCTGCTACTTTCTGATTTCGAGACAGCCTGTAAATAGTACATACAAGTGCTCTCAAAATTGTTGCTTTAAACAATGCTTTTCAGAAGGATATTCTTGTCCTTAAAAAAAAAAAAAGGGCAATTCTAAATGCTAAATACAGTCTAAGCAATTCTATGTTACAGATACAGTTTATCACATATTTTTGTCAACTAACCTTGTTCGTGCTGAAGGGCCTTTTTGGTTGTTACTGTTTCCATCATAAAAGGAAGTTTATTCTTCCAAATCCTGATGATTCCAAAGTGTAGTTACAACAGCATCTTTTGGGATAATTCTGTTTCGCTTTGATACAAAGCACCTGAAAAGGGCTTTTTTCCGTTTCTAGCCTATGACAGGAGCTGAGATGGAGTCCTGTCCTGCCCCTTTCCAGGTACATAAATTCAAGATTGCTCCCTTAATATTTCACTGAAGTGCTATTTAAAAAACATTTTTGCGGAGGCACCATTATCCCTCTTGAATGGCAAGTCCACAGCCTAATAAATGATTTTTTTTTTTTTTTTTTTTTTACTATTTAACCTAGATATTTCTCCACTTATTTCCATCCTATTATGCTTAATCATCATTTCCCTTGTTGCTGGTCCTTCTGCTAATTTTGAGACCCTTTTCCAACGCACAGATTAATCTTTTAAATGATTTTTTTAACAATGTTCTTTAAAGCCTTGTTGACTTTGGGAAGGAAGGTTAGATAGCAAGGTGAATGTGGCATTTTCATTCGAGTACGTGATGCGGCCATGACTGAGCAAGGGAGCGGTGGTGTCAGGCGCGCTCAGCAGCCACGGGCAAGAGGGCCTGTGTCTGTCCACAGCTGGGAGGCAGGGTCTCACCTCCCGTCTGAGGACATAAAAATTAAAAAGATACGACCCTTCTTTGCATCACAGTCCATGCTAGCTTCCGTTCCCAGGGAGCACTGGACAGCTCGAGCAGCACTGTCTTTCAAGACGCAAGGTCTTAGGGATGCTGGCTTTGGTTTTGCAGTGTTTTCCAGAGAGCAGAACAGGGAGTCAGGGGAGCTGGGTTTGACACTGGCTTCAGGCTGTGGTGAATGTCTTTCTGTCCGTTCTGCAATGCTTGCAGCCTGCGAACGTTCGGACAGTTGGGTACTTGCTGGAGTCTTTCTGGGACAGCCGCCAGACTGGCACTACCGAAATACCCGCTCTCAGACATGTGTTCACTCCTCTGTGGTATCTGCATGATACTAAAGCAGCCTGTTCTTAGGAAAGGTGGAATGCATCAGCCTGCCAGAGTTGAGTCTGGTCTCTCTGTGGACATGGGAACATATTATCACACACAAGTTGCATCACGGATATACTTGCCTCAACCGTCTTGTTAAAATGGTCTGCATTTCTCTTCGTCATATGGTGGCTAAGCAAAAGGAATGTGTTGAGCCATCATGGGACAGCAAGGAGAAGACAGAGAAGTCTCTATGAATGCTTATTAACTGATGATGGCTGGTGCTCTCTCATCCTCTTTCCTTCTCCAGATCCTATTCCCTTCCCTCTCTTGCTCTGAAAGGACAAGGTAAGCCTCCTGCCATGGAGGCTTAACATGGCCGTTACTGGCCTCTGCCCTGAGTCGCCTTGCCCTTAAAACATTTTCTTTTGTTGTTACCAGTGTAAGCCATACTAGAAAGAGACATGGGATCTCGGATGGGCTTAGAAGAGTCCCCATCCTCGAGACTATTCTGAGCCTCTCTCCCAGCTCTGCAGTCAGGTGCGTTCAGAAGATTTAGCAATGACTGAAGTGACTGTTAGCTGTATGCAGCAAAATTTAAAGGCCACACACACACAAGCCATATCAAGCTGGACGTCTGCATTTGCTTCTCCTGTCTTTCTGAGGGGCTCTAGCTTTGTGGATTTTGAATTGGGACTGTCAGCTCGCTCTGGGAAAGAGGATGTCCAGGAAACTAGGTTAAGCAGAGGGTTGACAGGGAATCCTTCTCACTGCTGTCAGCTTGGAGCCTGGGAAAATGAGGAGGAGATGCCATTCCCTGCACAAGGACTCAGTTCCTCATCTAGGTAGTTGGAAAATGCAGACCCTTATGTATCTAGGGGGTGGATCTAGAAGGTTGCCTGCTCAGCAACTTGACCTGTAGCTTGAGCCTAGGGACGCCTTCTGCGTGGTTGCACCGCATAGGTAACAGGGAGTGAGTGGTGCAGATGAATCAAGGTCAGGATGAGTTACTGCAAGACCTTATAAGGTGGAAAGAGGAGTCGGGGAAGGTTGCTCTGATTTTGTTTGTGAAAAATATATTTTTCTCTAAAATGAAAATATTTTGTGTACCAAAGCTACCTGCCACTACAGGTCCTGCAATTTCCCACTCAGAGGGCAGGTCATACCACATTAGCTTTTCCTTTAGTTGCTATCTTGTGATACATTTAATGATTAGCAAAAAAATCAGCAAAGCAAGAATACTTCTGGGATACAGCTTCAGGGCTAGCTAGAGGTGGGCAAGAGACTAAAAGTTTCAATTAAATAATGGCTAAAACATGTCATGTAAACTCTGATTGCTTTTCCTAAGAAGGCCAAGATAATTTGCTTAAAATTTTAGTCTTGTGAAACTATGACATTTTTTGTGTTGATTTAGTTTTTTGGGGGGTGGGGCCTTGCATTTTAATCACTTCTTTTATAAAATAGACTTTCTGATGGGGAAAGCATCGTCTGTTATGTTAATGTGAGGCATCTCGTCTTTCCATTTTTAGCTGTCGTTGGCCGAAAAGTTCTTGTTACTACTGCCAGCTAATAGAGTTGCTTCTCTAGCTCAGCGGGTAGAGGCATGTGCTGTCTAACTGCTCAGCCTATCTAATTGCATCATTACAGCCCGTGCTGGCTGTCTAATCTTGCTGTATAAAGTAATTAAGTTGCCCCACCACTGAGCTGCTGGTGCTGAGCATCGATGCCTGGTGCTGCCTTGCAGTGGGCTTGTTCCTCGGGTGTAGCTCAGGCATTTCTCTTGAGCATACTCTGTGGGTACACTCATTGCTTCTGCCAGCGCTTTGATATGTTATCTTGGCAAATCGTATGTATTTGTATCTCTGAAAGAAGAATGTTCTCTAGATAATTCTGTTTGCGGATGTATTTAGAAATTGAACTATTCTCAGTTGTGCTGCCCCTTAACAAATCAGGAAGGAAAGGAAGAGGTATTTTGGTTTATATTCTTAGTTCTGAAGGGTCAATATGGTAGCTGAGAATCAGCAAAGAACAGGGATGTGCCTCACACACACTTCATTTTTTCCCCGGGTGTGCTTCCTCGCCAGCCGTGCCTGGTGACGATGGTTCCCAATCTCATCAGTCACGTGTTGCAGTGAATCCCCCACCCAGAAGCGGCTTCTCGTAGTCGGGCTTGTGAGAATTTTAGCAGGACTTCTCACTGAGACACCACAAAGAATTAATCGTAGCACACGGGAGGATATGGATGTATGCCTTGCCTTTTGCTTTCTACTGCTCTTAGATTTCTTCCGGGACTTCAGGTGTTAAACAGTAGTGCCAATAGTTCCTTTCTTCTGTTTTACCTTGATATAACCTTGAGTGGAGAAATTATATACCAGCAAGCTGATATGGTACTAGAAACTGAGGTACAAAAAGCAGTACTGCAGTTTAGGCAAAAATGTATTCTTAAAATCCTTCTTTCCAAGGTGAGGTAACATCATTCTTTGCCATCACACCATGTCATAGAAATTTAAAAGTTGATTTGCTGTAGTTAGTTACTCAGTATGTTTCTATCCCAAAATGTGAAAAATTTCATAGGCAGAAATACCACTCTGTCTATGAGTGGGATGGATGTCTGATGTGAATTGAAAGCGGTAGGACATGTGGTCAGCATCCTGAGCTGTTTGGCCCTGCTGTGAAGCACTGAGGGTGGAGAAGTGAAACCCTCCTAAGCATGGCGTTCTTTTGCAGGGCTAGAGCCCCAGTCCCCTCCAAAAGCACCAGCAGGGAAGACGTCAATAGGACCAGCTCCGTTGCGCTCCCGCGCCCAGCCGAAAGGGAATGAAGACGAGCTTGATCCAACCTGTGCAGCCGCCACATTGAAACTTATTAGAGACAAACTACCAAAGTTACCGCCTCCGCATGCCAGGTTATCTTTGTTTTAATTCTTGTAGAAACCTCTTGCTCTTACTTGTATTTGTTAGTCACGAAAGCACACAGAAAAGCGCTCGTGAATGGGCAAGCCGCTAAGGCTGTCTTGGTTTCACTTTGAAGTTACAGTTCTTTTATGGAGGTGTACGTTCACTGCTCAGTATTGGGGATTTTGTTAGTGATTGCACCAGGCTCTTAAGGAATATCTTACTGCTCACTTGGTTTAGGTTTTATTTGGTGTAAAAGGCCTCTATGAAAATACAAAACATTCCCACCTCTCCTAACAAAAAAAATCCATCTCCATTTTTGGGGATGATTTTTGGTTTGCAGCTAAACAGAACATATCCTAATGCTACAATAGAAAGTAGTTTCAGCCATTTCTTCTTTCCTAGTGACTTATGCTGTCAGTGCTGCCTGAAGGCATGTTTTACTGATTCCAAAGATGTATTTGTTGTCAGTCCTATTCAAAGCTTGCTGAAATTCCAGTCTTGTCTAGCATTTGTCTGTGATTTGGGGATAAGACTGAGTAATCTACTTAGTGGCATATTCCTGAAAAGAAACTTCTGCATTGGCCAGGAAAGCCCCCAAAAACTAGCAAATTGGGATGTAATCTCAGAAAGGAGTTTACTTTATTAGAACTCTGGAGTTTGGAGTATTCAGGTATACATTTTGACTGTTAATCGTTGTTTTAGTAAGGTGACTAAGACCATTTGAAGTTCTCTTACTGAATACCCAAGGTCCCCATAGTAGCACTCTGGTTTTTGAAGACTAATGAATTCTGTGGTGGTGTTGCACAATGAGTATTATAAGTCTGCAAGATGGAATTTTGTCAACAAAAACAAACTTAGCAATCTGTGTGACTGCCATGCAAACATGGGCATGACCTTACAGAAGCAAGATCTTTCTAAACACAGTTTGCCACATCAGTAGCTCGTGTTACAGTACAGCGTGTGTGATCCACTGCTGCCCCCATTAGATCTCTAGGCTTCTACACGTATGGTATAATACATTTTATATAGCTTTAGCTGAATGTGCACTTAAGCTTCATGATGCAGTGTGCTGTACTTCGAGTGTGTGATATTATGGTTTGCATCCTTTTAAAAAAAACAAACGTCAATCCTGTAAAGGTAGTTGTAGTCCTAGATCTAAGAGAATATTAGTGTTGGTGTGAAAATCTAATGAAAAAAGAGAAAAAGTTGTTGTGATCATTGCTGTTCCATATTGACTTTTCATCATTTTTCTCCAGTGACTTTGCAACTACTGAGCCAGCGGCCTTGGAAGAGCTTGACAATAAGAGAAGAAAACTAGAAGAAGAAAGAGCTAAAGCTCCCCTCATGCCTTTTGGATTAGATCTTCACTACTGGGGACAGGATCAGCCAAGTGCTGGGAAGATTCTCAAGTAATGCTCTTTCTCTTTTAAGACAAATTAAACAAATATATAGATTTACTTGTATTCAGAGGTCATGCAATGGGGTGACTGCTATTTCTTTTGATACTTACTTTTCTTCTGTCCCTTGTGCTGTAGGACCCATAAACAAAGTCAGAAATTCTACCTTTAAAGTTATTTGTTTTGAGAAGATGTGATGCTAATTAAATATCCTTTGGTGCTTCAAAGCACATTTTTCCTGCTCTTTCATGTTTGTGTATTATTTGCAGCATGGCATCACTTAACTCCAATTTAAATCGGTACCTCATTATGCAAAGTGCTATGCAAGTGCATGCGAGACAGTCCCTCTGCTGGGGACTTGACAGTCTAAATAAATAACAGACAAGGTAGGAGGAAGACTGGGGAGGTGTCAGGGGTCTTTTTCCTGACTTTACAGGGAGGTAACTGAGGAAATTGATATGCCTGTTCAGTCACACAAGAAATAGGTGCTGGTTACAGGATTTGAATTTGGATTTCTCACTTTTCATTCTTGTCTGGGGAAGGTTTTTGTTGTTTCTTGGACATGAAACATTGCTGGCTTGGGGAGAGCTTTAGCAATGCCAGGAAGAAAAGATGGTAGGTATACATCAGAACTTGTTTCTAGCAGTAAGTTTTTAAAAAATACTTTTAAGACTAGTATTTTCATATGAAAGTCAGGATGCAAAGTTCTCCCTCTATGTATAATTTCATTTAAGTCCACCAGAACTTCAATAACAGTGTATATCGTACCTGGCTTGGAAAAGGCAAAAACCATTGGCTAGGTTGCAAATCAAACTCTCCTATTCTCAGCAGTATTACTTTAACTTAGTTTGTTTTCTCGTCAAAACAAAACAAAAAAAACCACCAGCCCATGATCACAGTGTGAAGACAGTTTGCAGAAAAACAAGAGGAAAGTATTGCCTCTGTATCTGATTGCATAAAATGCTGAATATGTTTTAAATTATTGAAAGCCAGTGAAATTTGATCCATAATAGTGCTCTAATGCAGCCACTCCAAGCTTTGGGTTCTGTCTGGTGTGGTGTAAGCTCTTCAAGGCCTGTAAAATGGTTAAGATTTTCAGCAGGGCTTTAAGAAGCATTTGTCTGTGATAATGCCAAAAAAGTAGTAAGGCTTTACTTTACATTGCAAATGAGTTACTCAAGTCATAAGTGAAATCAGAAGCATATTTCACTCCCTGTCTGCCTTGTGCTGTACTGTTTTATTTTTATGCTTTCCAATAAAATAAAGGGCACACTTCTGAACCTTATAGTCTATAACTACAGATACGCCAATCTAACTAAAAGTTAATTTAAGTAACTCTGCACACACAATACCATTGACCCCTGGGTATAAAATATATTTATTGAAAAAATAAGGTAGTCATTGGCCAACTCCTTTAACTTTTCTATGTGCACGCATACTGTCTCTGTAAGATGCCTAGGAAAAAAGCAAACCCAAAAAACAGACAACACATACAGAATGTGTACGGAATTTGAATTTTTAAAATCTGAAGTGGAAAAGTCTTTCCCCCTCACCTCTTTCACACTACACTTACTTAATTGCAACATTTAGAATAAATTAAGATTCTGAAAAGTGAGAATGAAGCTACGAGGAAGATGATTTTTCTATAGAAGTTTTGTTTAGCTGGTAAACGGAGAACCATCACCTTCTCTAGAACGTGACAGTAACTGTGGGCTTTTCAAAAAGTTTGGGCCGAACCATTTTCCCGACTTCTGCCTTCACTCACACAACTCATTAAGCTAGTTTAAGAACTCTTCAAATGAGTTTATAAAGCTGTAGGCGTACTTTTTTGGGGGAGGGTTGTGTACTGCACAGTCTTGTACTGTGTAGAGACTGCTATGCTAACTTAACTATTTTGGACAGCATGGGCCTTCCAAACTCATCTACCCTCCTCCTTGAATTAAATTAGCGTACTCTTAGGATCAGACTACATTAGCTGCGGCAGCACGTTTTATGACTGTGACTAGGATATTTGAATTAGCCCATATAGCACTTGCTCCGGGATCTCTGTATGCTCATACTTATTTTAGAATTTATATTTATTCAATTTTTTATAAGCTTCCCATCATCATAGGAACAAAGTGATATATAAATTGATATAAATTTGTTGAAAAGGTGCAATATTTCTCCAGGAGCTAGACTTTATTTTAGATTTCAGTTAACCCTTACTTGTCTTTTATTCCTCCTAATGTATAGCTATGTAATTTCCATTAAAGCCTCTGTTATTTGTCTAGATCAATAACATTCTTTCTATGAGTGTGAGTGGGGTGTTGATCTTCCAGTTGATTATCTGTTCTCCTTCTGATCCTTCTTACAAAAAGGTTTTTCTTTCTTCTTCTCATTTTTTCAAAGAAACATCTCGTGTTCTGCCTTTTTAAAATGTTGCTTAAATTACAACAGCTGGAAATCAGAAAACTTTGGGCATCATCACTACTTTGTTCTTTTCTCACCTGCTAGTAAGTCATGCTGGTAGAAAATAAGTTATGTGCTTATAGTAAACAATAATATTTATGAGTATCTGTGTAGGAATCAAGCTATTTTAAGTTTAGTTCCCAAATACTGATTGATGATATATAGAGTAAAACATAATTTTAATTTCCTTGAGATTTGTTGGAGGCAGATTTTGCGGGGTGACAGAAAAAACATTAAATAGAAGTTTTTCCTAATTGGGAAGTTTGGCATGCACAACTGTTAAAAGCTTCTTCATTCTCATATAACTGTAATTTGATAATTTAGAGGGGGAGGGGAGTTCAGACCACCAAAGGACATTAGATTTTACTAAGAGATTCTGTACAGCTACCTTGCACATAGAAGTCCCGTATCATGTCTTTTTAGGAATGCTTTCCTTTCCTTGTGTCTGTAAGGTTAGTAACACAGAGCTAGCAGTCAGTCTTGTTTTCAGGACTGTATTAAAACTAAGCAAATCAGAAATTTACTTCATTCTTTTATTCACTGTCTATTGTACAGTCTTGTCACATAATTTCTGAAGCTAAAATACTGTATCACTCAAATGTTTTAATAAAGTCATATTGGTATATTATAAAGATTCTTAAAGCTTTTTTGTTTAGGCTACAGGTTGCAGAATTGTGTGATTGAAAACTTTTTTTTTTAAAACCAAAAATTGTGGAAACCTATTACTATGTTTAATGTTGAACTAGCCTGCACTATTAACTCTTTTGCCTTTATCCCCTAATTTACCAGAAGGAAGTTATTTGTACTTTTTGGCAGGTCAGAATTTTTCTTGCACTAGCAAGGTATATTTGATGAAGAAATTATTGGATAACATGAATCTCTTTAACAAGGATTTTACTTGTTGAACATTTTTCTGATGTTTGGCAAATCATAGAATGGCTTTGAAATTTCTTAATCTCTTTTTTAACCTAGTTCTAATCTATTAATATAGTTTTAAATGGTCAGCTATCGCAGCAGCTGGTGGTCAGCAGCTATGTATGTTGTAGGTTGCTAAGGTCAGATAATTTCCTCCACTGTTTTTTCCTTGTGATCTGCTGAAAACTTGCTTAGATAAAATTCATCAAAACTCTTCAGACCCACTAAAGTAATTCTTTATCTGTTGGCTTATGTGCTTTGCTGAATCGAGATCGTTGTGATTAGAGAAGCCAGTGTTCACATATATATGGCTCTGCAGTCTGTAGAAGGCAAAGTCTCAGAAGTCGGAATGACACCCAAGGCACAATGATGACCTGCTCATGGCAGGGTGGTTGGACTAGGTGGCCTTTGAAGGTCCTCTCCAAACCAAACCATTCTATGATTCTATATTAATGAGTGAGAGGAATTGGATATGGATAGAGAAAATCCCCTCAAATCAGTCTGGAACTGATTGCATGGAAGAAAGGAATTGTGAAGTGTCCTTTATAAATTTTAAGTTCTTACCAAGACATCTGTAATCTAGATACCTCCATTTTGCTTGTAATAAGCAGCAGACATGCAGGCTGGAATTCTTTTTGCTTAGTTTAGCTGTATTTTTTTCTCTTTAACTTTGTATTTCCTTAAATTTGAGATGGAATTGTTGTTGTTTAACTTCAGATATCTTAAAGTTAGATATCTAAGCTTAAGCTGGTCACCCTAATTTTTTTCCTGATTAGGAGAAACATAGACCATTAGAGGGACACACATAGCATCCTAAGATTAGCATCTAAAATGTGTCACGTAATTACTCTCTGGGGTTGCCTGTTTCTCGTTAGACACTATTGGCAGCCTAGGGTGGCTAAAATGAAATTACCTGAATACTGTTGAGAAAATTTGAAAATACTACATCACTCAAAGGTCTTTGCTCCCCTTCCCTCCCACCCCCCACATCCCCTGGCATGGTACCGATCTTCCTTACACCAGATTACAAAGAGTATATTTGCTTATACGGGTGTGTAAATACAAGTAAAATCTCTAATTTTACAATGGATTTTCAATGGATTAGCTTAATTTCCTAGAGGAATACCTCATAAGTTTCTCAGACATAAGGACACTGTATAGGAGAACCTGGAAGAAAGAATCTCTGTAAGGTTGATATAAAGATTTTTTATTAT